CCATCATCTGAGAGAAAAAAAAAAAAGCTGAGCTAAAAATCCCACTAGCCTAATTCCTTTCCTTGTCCAATAACATTCTTAGATTTGATGACTTTCCTTTGAGCTGCTATTCCTGGCAGGTCATGCTGTAAGAATAGCTGAAATGGACTTAAATGTGAAAATTATTTCAAGCTCTCTATGGAATAACGTACTCTGTCTGTACAAAATACAGGGAAAACAGTCACAGAAGTCTGTCCCACATATATCCAAAAAAGCACCAACAAGCAAAAACCACTGCTGAGCATAGATGTTACCAGAATGCTAAGAGGAGTGTGAAGATGAAAAATCACCTTTGGAGAGACAGAAGTGAGACCTAATATTTGAAAATGGAGAACAGCAGCTTTTACAGTGGGTGTTCCACATTGAAAACTTTGGATTTGTGAAATACAATAGAAACCAATACAAGAATCTGACCTGCTGAAAACCTCTTACTGTGGCTAAAGCTTTAATTTCCCTCAGGCAAGGCAGAAAAGCACTCCAGTTTCATACGCTTCCTTTTCACTGGTTATTTTGGATAAAACTTCAAAACAATGACATCCTAAAAAATGTAGTTCTAAAATCTATACCACTGGCAATTAATGGACTACAAACACATGTTGAAAATGTGTATGCAGGGTACACTGCAATCAATGATTTCCAAGATATTGCTCACATGATAGTTGCGGTCCTGCCTTCTTAATCCTTTCTGCTTTTCATTTATGCTAGTCACTCACAAGAGTGACTAGCATAAATGCAAGACTAAAGTAGCAAGACTAAAACTGCAATAAAATAGTGATGGTATTTAGGACAATGAGCTAGTACCACAATTGGGAGGGCATTTCTTGAAACCCAGATTATTGTCTTTAAAGATGAGTTTAAAAAACTATAATGTAAATATACAAATCAACATTTCTGAAGATGTAGACCAACAGTAAGAAGGGAAATGAAAAACAAACAAGTCTAGCACACAAGAGAGAGAGCAAAAAAGCTCCATTTAACGAGAGAGGACGAGGAGTCATTCTTACTCCTTCAAAATGAAAATAAAGATGTACAAGTGAGGAAAAGTGCACTCCTACATTTAAATCTGAGTAAACTCAGGAACCAGATCAAATCACAAAAGTTCAGCTACTTGGGTAAATTTCTTATTGGAATTATCAGACAGTTCCAGACAAAGGTACCTCCCTCTCCATCATCCTACAGATATTGCTTCTTACCTTATTACATACTGGTTGGTTTATACACAGAAGCTTAAAATTCATGCAACTCCTTGCTGAGCTTTTAAGAAGCAAATTGTGCACATTTAAAGATGAGATTAAAAAAAGGAAATGATTGGCAGGTGTAAGAAAGCTTTTTATGGAAAACACAAATACCCTTTTTAAGGGACTTGCAAAACTATGCAGCAATTTCCTATCCTGTGCATAGGATGTAAAAGCAGCTACACTTCAAGAAAACTAACATTAGTTTGTTAATGCACAATTATATTTTTTGCTGTAACGATACCAAGCCAACAATGTATTTTCATCAGTTGTTCCTTAACTATATCCAGTATTACAATAACTAAATCCAGTATATCTTAATGAAGAACCGCAGTATTTTAGTAGAAATATGTGCAATACTACATAAAGTAACAAAAAGCAAGGATTCTTTATAGTGTTGCCAAAACTAGGCAGCTATCTTTTATAATCTTACAATAACTTAAAAAGCAGGCTTTAGAAGCTAGAGACATTCTTTTGTACTTACTTGATTCCAAGAGCAAATCCTTGAATAACTTCGCCTGCATTTGGTCCAATGAAATGAAGGCCAAGGATTCGTTGCTCCCTCTCTCGTAAGCACACCATCTGAAAACAATACATTACATAGAAATCTTTTCTTAGAACATCTAAAGATAAGGCACGAAGTTGAATTAAATGAAACTGAAGTGCCTCAAGATCCTAGTTCAGCTGTTGATTCCCAGTGTGCCAAGAACTTATGCACTTGCTTAAATCTTAGTGACTTCAATAGATCTTATGCTTGTCCCTGAGCACTTTCCTGAATCAAAGCTTTATTAGCATATTTCTTTCAGACTTCAGGGAGCCACTGACAACAACAATTTGTGGTATATTGAATACTTCTCTGTTTGTCATTTGTATGAAAATTTCAAAATACCTTCATTAGTTTGATTGCTACGCTACAGACATCTTGACACTGAAGGACAACCTTTAGTGTCTGAGCTTTTGCAGGTACATGTATTCTTAGCAGCTAATCAGCAGTATTTCCAAAGACTGCTACCAATTATAAGATATTTTGTGTCTTTGTAATTCCTTACACTTACGGAAGCCTGCTTGGCAAGACGCTTTTACCACATCAGCCACATAACCTAAACAACAGTCAAGTCTTGGAAGCAAGCAAAGATGAAGGTAACTAAGCATCTGTGAAGGCCTGAGTCAGTGCACACAACTTTTATCAGAGAACTTACTAAAAAAAATAAGAATTGTTCCTTTAGGGACATCATGTTTATCGTTACGAGAATAAAATCAGTCTACCCCTATACCATCCCATCAAACATTACATCATCACTAATCTGTTTAGTTGTGCTACTCAGTAAAGACTTGGATTTCTTCATTAAGAATCCCAGTAACAGCAGCAATTCTGACATGGTAGTTTAAATATAGAAGAAGTTTTAAAGAAAAAACCCTCTTGCACTACAGTGTTAAATTTTAAGTTCAACATTTGTGTGTTTGGGGAGTTTAACAAGAACCATATTCAATGCCACCCAACAATTATTATGTCATTACTATTTTGTCCTCAAATATTCACCTTCATTGACACAATTCAAAGGGAATAGCTAAAAGAACTAGCATCACCTTGGCTGCAATGGTGCTTGGGATAATTAAGGCAAAGCTGCTAAGCTACTTGCAAAAGTCAGATGTGACAAAATACTATTAGAAAAACTAGTTACAGCTATTAATAATGGATATTCCTTACTTAACACACTCATAATACCATAATAATTTGTGATGGACATACAGCAGTTATAACATTTATTCCAGCAAGATAGCTCCCTAGTATTTAGGAGAAAAGAATGAAGAATAAAACTATGATATATTCTACCAATCAGATATATTCACCTTATTTAAGATCCTCTATTATGGGCAAGTGTATCAGAGAACTTTTGAAGAGGGAAGAAATTGGACTGCTCTAGAAGACATGCTTCAAGTCCAATACTTTGGTCTAAACCAGGTGGTTTTTATTTTCATAACTAAGACAGGGAACAGTTATGCTAGTTTTGTTAGCCTTGTGCTTCTTTTATTTTAAATGGTAGTATACTTTCACAAGAGATGGCCTCAAATATTACCAGAGCTAGTTAAGAATTTCACTGGGAGAAGCAGAGATTGATCTCTATGGAAGTTAGAATATTTGTTTGGACCTTAACAGCAGCCCATAGATGGTATCAATCAGTAGAACGTCACCTCTGAAAAATGCTAATACCTATAAAGCACTTTCAAGATGCAATGGAATAAGTACTGAATATTAAATATTTGTAGTTACGCTAGAGAAACAGGCTATCATTAAAAAAGATCTCAACCATTTCAGAAAGGTGTTTTTTTTTTTTTTTGCTAGACAGTCTTCCTCAAAGCTGGCTGTACCACGTGTATTGTTTTAAGTTAAAAGCAAGTTAAAAGTCCACAACACTCACTTTCATATAGCATTGAGTTGCATCTCTTTCAGCCACTGTAAACTCTAAAGGTTTATAAAATGCATGGTACACCTGGTAAGGAAAACAATACCATTTGTATTAGAATGTACTAATACATTAAAAAAATGCTGTTTTATATTATAACCATTACTATTACTACATATTTGATAATGTTATAGAAAAAAACATTAATTCACGTTCATTATTTTAAACAAAAAAACAGGTAACAATTCTGGAACACTCAAGTATAAATGTGAAGTATTTTTCAAAAGCATTAAAATCAGAACTAATAACAAACTGGAGTACTGCACTTTGTATTTCCATAAATTACTGCATCATATACTGACATTCTTTTTGATGAGTGAATAAAGATAACACAAAATATCTTTTCAAGTGTGATTTGTTTGAATTTTGTCTTATTACACAGTGATTATAAATTTCTTCACCACATGTACCTTACTCTCATCCTCATATCAGAAGATTGGGTGTGAATATACAGCATATCACGTTTCTTCATCAAAATGCAATGCACACGTACCATATCAAGATATTTCGGCCACAAAGATAACACTGAACAACTTGTGAGAATGTTTCTGGGGACATCCATAAAACTTAGACTAAAGAACCTGACCAGCAATTCTGACAATTAAAAGGAACATAACTGTTATTTAATGATGCTGTGCAATATCGTTTATCGAAATGGCAGCTAGTTTAAAACCATCAGACAACCAATAATTTTAAGCCCACTAGGTAATAGTTTGCATTGTGACATACTGCAATATTTTTAAAGTCCTGAGCTCTTCTGAAGACACCAAATCCCTAGCTGCAAACACAGCATTTGGAGGACTTATTTTTTCATAGTGCAACTCCGACACAAGCTATAAATTAAAAATATTTTCATACCTCAATATTATCTGATCCATAACACTGCACGGCCTTTTCTTCTGACAGCCCAACACAACCATATTCTAAGGGAGTGAAAACTGTAGTAGGTACCTGTTCATCAGGAAACAAAGTGTTACTGTGAACCATATGAAGCAGCTGCAGGGGAGAATTTTGCATGACTGAGAAGAGCAGCTCTGTCACACACATCTGTTTCGGCTGTCAAAACCAGATTCCAGATGGAAAAAAATACAATTTCTTTAAATATTCTTTTAAGGAAAAAAAAAAAGATTTGTTTTTATTATTGAAAAAAGAACTCACATTGTCATAGTCCATCAATTCTGAAGACTGGCCAAAAAGACGCTGAGCCAGCAGTTTTCCTGCAGCTATTGCTGTGGGTGTCAATTCAGGACGGCCCTGAGAAAAGAGCACAAAGCTTTGTTTCATCTAAAAGAGAAGTATCATCCAAGGATTTCTCCTGGGACAGCAGGCAGAGGAAGGCCAAATCTTTGGAATTCCAGCTTAGCAGCCAGTGCTCCAAATGGAGAAGGCACTAATAATTTCTGTCCAAACATGCTTACAATCAACATATAAAAACTTCACATCTGATGTCACTCCCTGAAAAGCAGAGGTTGTTAACATGTTAACCATCCATCTCACCCTCTCTTTCCATAGTAAGCCCTCAGTAAGCTTACCAGCTGGTCTTTTTAAAGCAGGAAGAAAAACAAACTAGTATAAGGAACAGCGTTTTAAAATCTACCAGAACTTTTTTTTTTAAAAAGTTGCCTGATGCATTTTTACAGAACACAGAGTCAACAGGTGCAAACTTTGCTATTTGTAGACATGGGCTCTCTATGGACCTTTGGACTCATGGACCTTTTCCCTGGATTGGGAAAAAGGAATGCTATTTTGCCCACACTGCAACCTATAGTTTGAATTGGTCCTAATCTCAGACTCTGGCATTAGAGGGAGGCATGAAAAGGATGCTGTTGGCAAATGCTAACGTCCTGCAAATGAAAAATGACATAACAGCAGAATATGGCCAGGACATGCTTCAATTCAAGCCACAAGTCCTGACTACTTTTTACATCCAAACAGGTCAAGCAATGTGCCAGAATCCTAATTTCTAGTGCTGACACAATGCCACTGGAGCATCAGAACTCCAATGCTAGTTTTAAAGAAGCTGGAAGTTTTTGCAGACTGAAGAATGGCATCTTCAAAGCATTTTTTTTTTGAAGCCTGCGGAATAATAGTCCATTTAAGTTGATAAGCCAGAGAAAACTTCATGAATCTAGTCAAAAAGAGTTATTTAAGAGTTTATCTAAGTCTGTATCATCAAGATGCCTGTCTGCAATTAGGAAAGGGGTCACAAGTCTAGAAGGAAAGATATGGAGACATAAGAAAGCTATAACTGAAAAACAACACCTTTGTGGGACAATGAGAAATGCTTTGTAAAGACTGTGAAATTTTGCTTCATACAGGTCCTATCTAGATCCAACACTTGCCACATTTATGCAAAGCTCCACTTTGGAGCTGGTCATTCAGTAAGCCCTCAAAAACAGTCTTCAGCAGAAAACAAAGTAAGGATTTCCCACCACATACATTGAAGTTTTTCAAGTGTTTCTTCATTAACCTGACTGTTCTGAGCATTTACTGGAAACCATTCTTCTTTCCCAGCTTCTCTTTTCTGTATATTCCCTTTAATTAGTTCTGTACATGGTGTTAGCTACCATTTACTACATTATACATACTCTATCAATTATCTGCATATTAAAACACATTTGCGTTTTTATCTATACTAATAACACCTTATGCTGAAACTTTCTTTCCAAAAATAAACCGAAACATTACGTCTAACCTGTTAACAGACACAACTATTCTGTTTACAAAGACAAACCTATTTTTCCCCACTGCTCATGACAAATTACAAAACTGTAAGTCTATGCCTTTTTCCCATAAGATATATCAAGTCATGGTTTTTCAAAACCAGCATTTTGACTTTCAAGTCTGTAAATGTCATTTAGCAGATGAAATTTGCCATTTGTTTTTTCTTGCACACATTTGCCTGAAACATGGCTGCCAATCATTTCTGTAGCAGGAAATACAGATGTTGTTTTGGCATTCCAGAAATGAATAGAAGATTGGAACTAGAGATAAAATTGTGAAAGCACTGCTATGCATTCCATAAAACCCAACTAATTACAAAAACATCCATGCAGATAAAGTCTAATTTCTCATAAACAATGGCTTAAAGACCTTCTCTGGTAAATATTTGAAAAGAACATTCACTTTGCAGTCATGTGTAGAACTACCCTCATTATTATTATGGATACAAATAGTTCATAAGTATCCTCCAATGCATTATACATTTAAACGAGATGGCTCCTAAGAGAGTTTAAAAAGCTTTGAAGTACTGTGTATTTGTTCTAACACGACTCTTTCTTGGTCTTATTTCTATTCAAAGAAACATACGGTACATTCCACCTTCTCTACACATCTTTGTTACAACACCCTTTGAAATATGACAGATGTATACACATACATATGATAAACCTCCTTCTAAGAGAACTTCTTTATGCTGTGTGCCATGCTTTTCAACATTAATACCACTAGAGGAAGGGTTTTAATAGACAGAGCTTATATTATCACTGAAAAAAAAAAAAAATCACATTAAAATTCCAGCCTGGTCATCCTCATCCTGATTACAGAAAATGAAAATTCTTAAATACAGTTTTACCTGTCAGTTGAAAATATCTTTTTGCCAAAGCCTGAGAATCTTTTTTTGAGGGTAGACAGATTGACCAACCTCTGGGAGGTTGTATTTTTTTCCCCTTCCCTTTCTCCAGATGAACAGCTTGCATAACATTAGGATTTAATTTTTCATACAAGGGTGCAATAAGACACCCATGCACACATAGTTTCCCATTTGTGCCAGATGGGTATGATTCCCAAATGAAAACACTCATTCTAACCATATCATGAAACTCCCCTTTCCCTTCTTTCACTACTCCCCTTCCAGCCAGGGCACTGAATTAATAAAAATAAAAAAATAGCTATTCAGTAAAAATTTCGCATCTATTCAGTGTGGCCTAGTAAAGGAGGAAGGAGGAGAGGTTGAGAACTACTTGCAAATGTATAAGCAATAGCACTTTATGGCAGCAAAGAAAATCTGGCAGGTAGAGAGAAGACCAATGAGAGATCCTAACAGGGACACAAGAGACAAAAACCCTATTTTATAAATAATATTAGGGATCACTGATGCTCATTCACATGGAACAAAATTCCCTTTCCTGCCCCTTGAGTGGTCTCACCCAGACAATATTACATGCCAAGCTCTACAGCTTTGTGGTTCTGAAAGAATACACACAGAAGAATCAAGTGTATCCAGCTGAGATGTACACCAACACCAACAATGGGAACTTTGTTCCACTGCTGATTCCCATGCCAATAAAATTTATTATCTAAATCTATTCTGCTTTTAAAAGAGACAAAATTCATTTGGATATTCAAACAAAATAACTGCATTGCTTAACAAGTGGAATTACATAGCTCATATTGTAATGGAGTCAGACAAGATAGTTCCTTCTATCTTTAAACTCTATAAATGTGCAAGTACTACATTGTGATTCCCTTAATTCCCTATATTTAGCCCATATGGAGACAAAAGCTTATGAGAATATGTCTACAGAGCACTGATTTAACTGTCCAGTTTTCCCAACTGTACATAGTAGAAAAGCGTGTTGCTTTTCTTAACACACTTAGAAGTGCATATTACACAACTCGGGTTCAGAAATCTGCACTACCAAGAACAAAAACAGGAAAAGGAAATCCAGGTTTTAACAACAAAATGAAAATGACAAATAAATGTAGACCTGACTTTCTAGATGCAGAATAGGAAAGATGAGAGCATCCTGCCTCCAACTTTACATTTCTTATTTAACTAAATCCTCAAAAGGCAGAATACCAAAAGCACCCAAACGGAAATGACCTGCTCAAAATAACACCGCAGATTGGCAGCAAAGTGAGCAACAGAACTGAAGACCTTGCCAGCATTGCCTCTAACAACTGCCAATTGGATTAAATTAAAAAGAATAGTTTGGAAAGCCAAAAGCCTAACCAAGGCATATATCAGGGATGAGCAGGTCACTGAGAAGAAAGTGGACTTCAGGAAATATCCCAGAGCATGAAGTGACAAACACAGAGGGAACCTCTATGTGGAGAGAAGAAAGGAGAACTGAACGTAACCCCAAAGCTCTCTCTGAGTGACTGCATAGTACAGAGAAATTGTGGAGAGCAAAGAATAAAAGGAGAAATAGCCGAACAGGAAAGAGTTTTCACACAGTCTAAAAGGAAATGGCAAGTCATTCACATGAAGATGGAGACAGACAGGAAGAAACACATGTCTACAAAGAGGGAAAGAGGTCAGGAATCACCAATAGATTTATGAGATTTAAGTCTCTCTGACTGTTCCAGCATCCAGTCAGGGATCTGCAGGCTATTCAAAGACATGTAACCTGTTACATCTCTTCAAAAACTCAAGAATGCTTGGGGTGGGGGGGGAGAATGTTATGTGTGGCAGAATGTGAAATCTTTAAAAGATCTCAAAGATCTCTCAAATCATACTATGTATGTGGTTTGGGTATCACCACAGTATTTAGATTTACCAGACTTCTATAAAGATGACCACACTATATATAAAAAGCAACTTTAATAGGAAGGGATGTGCTCATTTCCATTAAGTTAAGTGACAGATAAGAGATCTTGTGATGCCCACAATAATATTCTATAGTATTGCACAATTTCTTTGGGAACAGCAAGCAGCTGATGAAAACATCCTCCTTGTACCTGGTACAGTTCACAATCCAGCCATACATCATATTATAACATTGTCAAAGATGTCCAACTCAAGTGTAGAAATTCTGAGTTCACCTGTAAACTGAAAATATAGGGATTGAAAGAATTTGAGTGCACTTTGATCAGGGGAAAATATTCTTATTACAAATAACTGTACATCAACAAGAGTGCTAGACTAAGGTCACAAAATTCTGGTTTTGCACCTGTAACAAGTAGTAAATTGTTCTGCTTAAGTTAATAAGTTAAGTTTTTTACAAAACAAAGGAACAAAAACAAAACAAAACAAAAAAACAACACCACCACCGCTTATGTTTACTTGGCATAAACATTCACAAGTCATGTGAATCATCTGACAGAAGTCAACGCCTTTGCCTTTGAAGCAATGGCTTTTTCTTGTTCTAGAGGCATATACTTTTGTCCAGACCATTTTATGTCAGGAAGGAGAAATGCTATCGTATGATTAATCTCAGTAGAATTGTTGTGGTCATTCCCCAAAAGTGTATTCAACATCAGAAGGTAAGAACTACTTTCACTCAGCATTAAGGCAGCATGAAGTCATACACCTGAAGTGATAAAAACTTCATTAGAAAGATAATTGAAGTGATAAAGACATTATTATGAGCCTCTGACCAATGATGCATTCCCTGATAAACATCAGTAATAATCTCTAATGCTGATATTTCACAAGATCCATGTGAAGGAAATTACTGACCCAGGTGGCGGGCATAAATACTACAGCTGTACAAAATGAAAAAGAGCAAAACACTAAGATATATGCTAGAGCATGACGACATCTGGGGACTAGTTATTAGTCAGGAACAAAGTTGGCTTCCTGTTATTGTAAAATAGTTTATGTAGACTCAGTACCTCTGTTATGTCTCCAACTGCGTAAATGTGAGGAACAGAAGTAGCTTCACTGGCATCCACAATGATCTTTCCAGTTTCAGAATTAGTTTTCACTCCAACTGCCTCCAAATTGAGAGCTTTGGTGTCAGGAGCCCGACCTTAAGGACGAAAGAAATTAAAGTAAAAACTATTGGAAAACTTTATCAGTGTTAATCTAAAAAGCTGGCATCCTCCAACGCAGATTTCCAAGAGCTTTGTGCGATTTGATAGTCCAAGTACAAAGAAGACAAAATATATCTGACACAGAAAAAGCCATAAGAGTATAAAGTATGGCTACCGATTTCTTTGTGAAAGCAGATCTATTACTATTGCCTTTGCTCAGATTATTTCAGCAAAAGTTATTTTTTAAAAATATGCAGGACACCATCCACTGCAGAAAGTGCAAAAAAGCCAGACGGTTTAAAATTTATTGCACATTATAAATGTGCAATATTTTCTAAAGTACCATAAATATATATATGTAATAAAGCAACTTCATGATGAAAGTTTCTAACAAACACTAACTGAATGGCATTCAATACTAACAAATAGCCTGTTGTGCACACTTGTGGATACAAATGATTAGTGATTCCATTCAGTGTCATACATCCCTGAAGTCCTCTTTTCCTGTTATCTGATATTTAAAATCTTTTTTAGTTCCTTCAGCCCTGGTGATAAAGTTTATCAACTTTGCTCTCAAGTCCTTAATGCTGAAATATTTAATATTTAGCTCAAGCTCTGTATAACCATTCTGTAGAATTTAGAACTATATTTCAATGCATTTAAAAACCAAATTAGGCAAAGTTCTACTGAACTTGGATTTTATTAGAGCTTCCCCTTCCAAAGATTTTAAGTTATATCTTTTCCATATGACTTTTCTCTCTCTAAATTACTTTTCAACCTACACATCTTCAAAAAATATTTTCATAGTATCTTCTGCATAAAGTCTTGATGCAAGCTCTACTGAACTGTCTACAGAGTATCTATTTGATCCAGAAATTGAATCTTAAATACATATAATTTTTTAAGCGTATTTGAAGGTTAAGAAGCACAGTGAAAATATCAGATACTCATTGTTAGGGGCACACAAGATTGTATAGCAGAGATTATCTGAGTATATCCAAATGAAGGAAACTTAATAACATTGCACTCATTTTTAGAGGCTATAAATGGATATGAACATATCGACATCTACATATATATATCTCCGTCGTGTGACTCATGATTTTGTGTTTGAAGTTAATACAGAGCTATAGCAAAGCAAAACAAAAAGGGAAATGTGTTTTCATTATAAAAACAAGCTCTTTGATGTTAATGTAGGAAATTATTAAACAAAAGGAAAACCTGGCTTGTCAATACAGACCTAATTATATGTAAACATATGATTCACTGCTTTATACATCTGCCATATAGGCAGGCCCCCCAAACAATGTCACATCTGAATGCCTCTGTAAAGACTTCTGTGTATTAATTTCATCTGGTGAAACCAACACTTCCTCTGGGAGTACTGACTGAAGCTGTCGGCACTCAGCTATCTGTCTGTCTTCCCTTCTGTTGTCCCCATGGGATGTTGATCTGCTGTTCCTTCTCTGCCCCCTGCTCCCCAGTCCTGATGCTATCAGGCAACAAAAATAATAAACCTCCAGGACCTTATCTTGGCTCGGATGTGAAACAACTTCCTACCGTTGTATTTCTTTGTGTATTGAGAGTAAAGCCTGGATATTCTGCAAATGGACAGCTAATGGGGTTTTCTAGTTTCCCCTTTTTCCTGCCAGGCAGAGCCAAGAGAACGCTTAGCACGCAATGGAAGGCACTGAAATAGGGAAAAAAAGAAAAACCCGTCAATAGAGTCATTTAAAGACTTGTGACAACAACAGCAGCTGAGTTTATCGAATCTGCAGGATAACACTTAACCTTTCAATTCCAATCTATTTTAACATGCGTACAGTTTGGTATTAATAGCTGAGAGTTACAAAAAGGTGTTGCTACTTAGTGAAATTTCTCATCTTTATTGTCTAAATATTATTTTTAAAAGCAATAATAAAACATTAGAATATAAACTGGACCTTTATTGGCCTTTAGACCCACGCTGGATCACAGCCATAAAACAAGATTAGAATTACTGATCTTGCTTCACCTCAAATTCACTAGCTTAGTTTCATGACTAGCTGAAGTGGCTTGGTAAGTTTTAAAGCCAAATTTAGGAAATTGTCAGATTTCCCAACATTCACATACACGTGTTGTAGAATCAGTTCTCACCATTTTTCAATAGTATTGGATAAAAAGAACATTTGTTTCATACGCATTAAGTCCTATTTAAAAACAAACAAACAAAAAAAAAACACAGTTATAGCTTATTGAGAGTTTACAGCTTATTTAGAGTTCATTGAGAGTTTACAGCTTACTCCTACAATCCACAGGGCATTTCAGAACACAAAGATACTTGAACAGTTTGTTTGAAAATGCCCACTGTCCTGAAACTCCTGAATAAGGAGCGTATGATTATTTAAGACACAAAACCAGCTTTAGCTTTCACTCAAAACAGCAAGGTATTATGCCAGACATCTAGAAGAAAGAATGATGCCAATTCAAACCTTAAAAAGGTTACCTACCTCTAGCACTTTTAACACCATATCATAATCTCAGACCTATACAATAGCCACAGAGCTGTGAAAACCACATAGAACCCGTTCTAGGGGCCTGCCCTCATTTGCTTAACTTTAAAATAGAAAACAGCTTTTAATCCGTTTTTGTAAAACCTAGCAACATGGCTTCTTGAGGGGGCTGTCAGCCAGCTTAGCGACAAGAGACTCATTAAAGCACACGTCTCAGACACAAACCAGGCCGGTTACATTGTGATGTGACATTTCCATGCTATCATCCGTGGAGTGGCTCTGGTAGTCACGCTTCCACGCACAGTAAGTTGAAGGCAGTATCAGGCTGCTGTGACCTTTAGGTACAGGACCTACAATGGTAGAGACTGAAGCAGCTGAACTGAGAAGAAACCATAGGACTAGACATAGTCAAATATCAGCAGCAATGTGTGACAGTATATTCCTGTGTACAGTAAGATTTCCCAGGGTGATAGAGGTGCAGCTGACAGCAACCCTGTAGAATTTTATAATAGGTCTCTTGCAGCTTCTTAATCACAGAAGCTGGAATGTCTGTTTGCCCCCTAGCATTTGAAAAATTAAAACTAGAGCCAACTGAGTATTTTCGCATTAGGCATGATAACACAGATGGCCACTGTCAGGATACCGCAGGGTGGCAGGATGGCTTTTCTGGCGTAAAACCTAAGCCCAAGCCTTCTGCACATTTTCATTTTTACACATCACTTCATAACTTCACCAAAACTGACCTTGGTTTGACCTTAATTAAGATGTGATGTGTTCCCAGTCTTGGTGTTCTCTTTCATCTTGTTCTGGGTGCCTGACACATTCACCAGAACAATTTCAAGACCACTACCCCCCTCTTCCTTCAAATCCCTCCTGAAAACCCAAGCTGTTCACAAAAACACAGTCAACTGATTCACAAAAACACAGTCAACTGATAATGACAAATAAAGACCAACTCAGCATAAACTATATTCCAATTACAAGGCGACAGAAAGATTAACTAGGGTTTAAAAAAATGTTCAGAACCCATACCCCTGATGATGGTGAGTGTACCAGTTTTACATTTCTGAACATTTCATCCATTAATAGATTCTCACCACGCCTGCCACAATTTGAAAAAAAAAAACAAAAAACAAAAAACTAATAGCAGATGGAAGCTTGCAGATAGCCCTGGGCATTAGCAACCAACGTACATCTGAAGTTCCTTGCACCTGGTGACAAAAAGCCAAGGATATCTGACTTGTGTCCTACCTGAACAACAAAAAAGCAGCTCCAAATGCTGTGTAACCACCACAGGTGAGTTACATGGGTGGCTATGAGGTTTTCCTTACAGCATGAGGCAGACTTCTAACAATTGTTATTTGTTTTGTTCTCAAGGTCCCATGCAAGGCAAAGCGTGCTAGAAATACTTCCTGGAAAGAAAGCTGCAGTTCGCCTTTACATCAGTTCTCCCACAGTAAGCTTGCAGTAACCAAAGGTTTTGTGGAGGCTTAAAGGCTGGCTCTGCAGTTTCACAAACCCATCAGCCACTGCCAAGTGAAGTCATGGGTTTCAATCTCTCCTACACACTGATAGGTGAACCGAACCAGTATTCTGAAGAAATAATTATACTGGTTACATAAAATTACTTTGAATCATTTTCTGCCAATTTTTTTTTTTATTTGTAACACCACCCAGGCAAACGCTAGCCATCACATACCAACTAAAACATTGCCTTATACTTCATGTTCCCAAATGTTCTCTCACGTGCAGATTAGATGCATAGCCTAGTGTTTAACTTTTCCTCAACATGAAGTGATTTTTGTAGTCACGCTGCTAAAATAAGCAGCATTTAAGAGTTATATTTGAAGTTTATGGGTGGGTTAAACAAAAACCAGAAGCAAAACATATATTCACACCCCTTTTAATGCAAACAAATTACCAGCACATTAAAAACAGCCGTTAAGCAAGGCTGACTGAATGTCATTAGAACTATACACTGGGAAAAGAAGCACTGGCTGATGTAACAGGAGTGACTACTTTCATTAGGACTGCAGAGAACATACCTCATCAAGAAAGTCCTGGACTAAAATTAATGAGGAATAGACGTGGGGAGTTCAGAACAAAGAACCAGAGCCTCAGCAAACCACACCACATTAGCACTAACCATTTTCTGAGATCAACCAAGATGTGTTATTTTTCACTGAACGGTTCAAAGGTTAAAAACTGGATGGCAAGGTTTTGTTCGCAAAGAGGAATATAAAGCCAATCCCCTTCCTACTGGGGCTGGCAGAAAGGTTCTCACATATTTCACCACGTGGGACTTTTCAAAGAAAAACTCCAAACAACATTTCTGTTTTTAATTAATCCAAACTGATTTGGTTATAAGATTTCAAGAGAACTACTATAAAAATGTACATACTTAACCCTTTCTTGATATTCAATACCAATGATCTTATTTTACTGCACTGCAAAATAAATTTGCCACACATCCAATCTGACACAGAGGGCAACATGCTTCATACCATGATGTGCAAAAACAGATACCTGTTCAACTTCACATGGAGCTAAAGGTGTGTGTGTGTGTATATATATGTGTGTGTGTGTGTGTGTGTGTTGTTTGTTTTGTTTTTTTTTTTATAGCAAAGACAATTTATTTCAAAGGCACAGTGGCTTCCCTCTACACCTATGAATGCAAGGGAACTGAAGAAGGGTTGTTCCACTGCCCTCATTAGGGAGGCAACTCTTTTGTAAAGCTAAATTTCAGATCTGTTGCTGGCCTTCACTCTTTCTATTAACAATTTACTAGTATTCTATCCCACTTTCTCTGCCAAACTCACTCCAGAATACTTTATAAATGTCTGCATAGTTTAATTATCAGTTCAGTGATGCTCCTCTACACAGTCAGACATCAATCAGATAAATAGTAATTCAATATCTTTACTAAGGACTTTGTGAATAATCTGGACAAAGTCCAGTTACAGCATTAATATTTTGCCATCTATCACAAATTCAACTGGAAATATTATTTGTCCTTTCCTGTTCTATATTAGCTGCGTTACAGCTGCAGAACTCAATATACAGGTTTTAGTGCTCCAATACCTGAAACAAGTTCTGTACAAAGTTTGATTTCCTGCAAGTTCATCCTGCAGATCAGCAGTTGCATCTATTTATAAAGGTATCAGTCTGTACCCTTTTCTTTGGGCAAAGACCCTACATTCCATCTGTACGTGCACAAGCTTACCATTGCTTTGTAGCTCGGGTACATCAGGCATCTATCATATAAAGGTGTTTTTTTTTTCTGGTGTCCTTAAGAGCAGGGGCAATACTATATAATATTAAAAGTTTATTGGTTTCATATAGAAAAAAATACACAGAAGCGTAATTCAGGTGAATTCTCAAAAAAGTAGAAGACAGAGCACTAGTAAAAGACAGAAGGACATTACATGACAGACAGAACCAAATAAAGGCCAAGAAAGAACTGTTTCAATGACCCGGTGCGTAACTGAGTACAGTCACTCAGCAAGGTAACACAGCCCTGTAATAGTAACCCACAAAAGCTTTGGATTTAAACTTTTAAGTTACATTAAAAATATATCCAAATAATTTTGTTGCCTCAAATGTTTTGATTGGTTTGAAAATCCTAGTAATTATAATAAATTCCAAATAAAATTCCAAGATGCATTCACAAAAATTAAGGAAATATCTAGTATAACTCAGGCTACAATTAGTTAACAGCGGGTGCTTTTTAACTCTACAAGCTGACTTTCTTCAATCAGTATTGTAACTGGCACATCTGCAGACAGGAAATCCTCAACACTACCCAGTTTCCCAGTCTATTATCTGAGACACCTGGTGTGGGTGTGTTGATACAGAGAAAAACAATGAATCATACCCACTGCACATCAATTAACCAGCTTTAACTGTTAATGTGTTTAATCCTTAAGGATAGAGTGCCAACTTTAACACACACACATAAAGTCCACTAAAAAAAGACCTCCTCAAACCCCCAAACCATTCATTTTGCAGTTTCTAAATGTGGATTGTACTTATATCCATGTTTAGATTGCTAAACTTACGAAAATGGTTGGCCCCACTGAACATGAAGGAGCTTTGTTTTCAGAACAGAAAGTGTTACAAATAAACAATAAGATGATCAAGTTTACCTACTGCCCACATCACTGTGTCAAAGGAATCCGCTTCTTCTGTGCCCGAGTCAGTATTTTTCCAGGTGACGTGTAATCTGTTGCTTTCCAATTTTTCAACTTTTGTTGGGATACATTTCTTTAAAAATTTTGTGCCATAAGATTCCATGTACTCTGTTACTAAAGATGCCATTTGCTGTTGAGTAGGGGGAAAAATGTTTATACTTAGGTATGGCATTTTTAATGCAAAACTCTCATTCAGCTGTCTTTATGAAATCCAGTAAAAATATAATGCCTTTCAAACATTCCTTGTCACTTAGCTACTGTGCATTGTCAACACATGATAATACATTAAGCAACTATGGCCTGCAACTCTATTCCAAGAGGTATCTGCATCTGAATATTCAAATCATTTTCAAGAAACTGAAATAGCACTTTAATAAAATGGTTGCTTATAATTCATTTGATTCATTTATAAAAATAGAATCTAGAGCACATTTAGTTTAACATTACCATAATTCCCATTTTCTGGCAGCTTGAAAAGAATTAAACGCTTTGATAAAGTTAATGAAGAAAAATATTTCCCTTTGCTGTGACACCTGTCATTTCTCTGCTGTAACTATGAATCACTAAGGCTTCCTGAAAAGTTCTACTACCAAAAGGAAATAATGCTTTTGTCCTAAGAGCTTGTTTGAAATAATGCCACACTACAGTTGATTAGTAATGTGTTGAATTGACAGGTTTATCCAAAGATGTCATTGCTCGTGACTGCAGTAATTCAGGTCACACTTCGTCAAAGGATGTATTTATTACTTAAAGGATATTATTACAAAACCACTCATGCAGAAGAGCTACGTGTAAGGTCTTGACTTACACAACTTTATTTCTGAAGTTGTTTTTAACTAATACAAAAACAACAACACGGTTATATCTCTCCAGAAATATGACAACTCATTAATCAGTTTCCATCTCAGTGTGACTACATATTGAATAAAATTATTTTTTCTATTTCTTCTTAACCTTGAAATTTCCATTGTATTATTTATATATTACAGAAGATCATGTTCTCAGAGAAAGCCCTACTGTTTTATGAAGTGCCACCCACACACTCTTAGCACTATTCCCTGCTTGCTCAAATCTCATGCTGTTCCAGGTGTAGATTTCTTCAATGATGAACGCAATTCCCAAGACACATCCTTAAATGGTGTTTTGCAAAACTGGTACACCTACCACTAGCTTTAAGGAAGAGACTTCAAAGTGGGAATAGCTGGCGTGCAACCAGGAGCTGTCACTACCTGCGTTCGTTACTTATCACTACTGCTTCTGACAGCGAAGTTCCCTCCTCAAAAACTGTACTGTTACACATTAAAATATTTTCCTACACTCCACGTATGCAAAGCAGTTCTTGAAAACAAGCCCATAGGCTCTATCACTCTTTGATCAACTTTGGTCTTTAAATGTTTTGCAGTATTGCAATTTAGCATTAAAAAACACACTCCTGATCCATGCTACCAGGAACAATTAATGTGCATTCATTTCCACTCTGGAAACACTATTTTCAAGAGATTAACAAGACAGAGTCTTCATTCTTAAAGCTGAAATTTTCCAAAGTTATATAAAAAAAAAAATATTAGAAAATTAAAAACAAAAAGTTCAGCGCAGCAGTGAGTGAAAACCTGTAACTCTCCTAAGAACGCTACAGAAACTTTTCCTTCAAAGTAATGTTAGCATCAAGTCTTGCAGGGACAAAGATCTACAATCACCTTTAAAACACTCTCCCTACAGACTTAGGGACCATCAAGCCAACCAATAAGGCTATCTAACTGGTAGAACAAAGCCTACAAAAACCACATCCAAGTAATGCCTTTACTAAATCCAATAACTTGTCTTTAACCTAAATCTGCTATACTACCTGCTATTGCTTTTTTAAGCAGCTCTGTATTTAACAGAAATGTTTAACAACATTCTTCGTTTTTGTTGCTTTTTCTCATTGTTAACTCTATTCCCTTTTATTGTCTTTATACAGGAATGGAATTCTAGCCAAAACTGTTTTTTGTTTTGACAGCACAATCATGATCACTCACACTTGAAGAAAACTCCTCAAAATTGTTCTTGATCTTGAAACACAATTCTTTCTCTTAACATTTCTCTTTCGCTTATAATTTTCTCCAGCGTGATAGCTCCACTGAAATCACTCACACTCTCTCTACATACCTTTTTTTTTAAAACCTAGTTATAACTGCCACTGTTATGAAAGCAGTGAAGTCAAGATTTCCAGTTCTTATATCATTAAAAGCTTTCAGCTTAGTGATTTATTTATTTGTCATAATGAACTCCACATTGAACTACTTCATGTTACATCCAGTAATTTATTTTAAAAGTCATTATCTGCATCTCTTAGCAACTCTAGATTATTTTAAAGAAATCGGCTAATACTTCTAGCAGTGGCATAATCCAAATCTCTCCCCTGCTTCCTGATCTTTTCAATCCTGTTTTAAATTAAGTGAAGGAAAAAAAAAAGGTTTAATTTTCCAAATACAGGATCAAGAGATATAATAGGAAAACATGAGCTAATATTTATTTAGTTACTCTTCAGAAACTGTATGCCAGGAAATGTCTGGAGAAGCCAACGCCACTTTTTCTTTAGGAGACAAAACTGACCAGACATACCTTATATGTGATATAGGAGGAAATGCAAGATGTTCCACACTGACCTGATCAAACCCACGAAGTGGGATACTTCTCATCATGACCGTAGTGTCTAGTCCAATGCCAGTTAGAAAACCAGCACATTCAAGTGAAATATCTGGTGAAGTATCAATTAAAGAAATATAAACAATAATTTCACATAAATGCAACACAGAGAGTAATATACACGTGGTGTTTCTATCTAGAGATACCACGTTTTCCTTACACATCTCTAGCTTACTTTCGTTGTACAGAATAAAAACCCAAAGCCTTAGAATACTTTCCTAATAGGTAAGAATGTTTTCAAGATCCTGAGAATTCATCCTCAACTAACCTTAGTTTCCTACAATGATAGTGCATATAAAACCCTTCCTATTATATTACAAATTATATTTATTATAACTTATAGGGCATGAGCAAAGGAATTCAGAAAATTAAGCTTTCATAGGAAAGGCAACTATGCTACTTATAAATCACAGATTTTTCAAAGGATACAGCTGGCTCCAACAACCAACCTGTTGCATAAAAAAAAAAAAAAGAAAGAATAAAGCAATGAAATGAGCTTGTGCATACTTCTGCATAACCCAACAAATTACTTTTTAAATATGTATAGTTATAAGAACACAGGTTTGAGCGGTGGATCTGATACTGTTAGGTAGGAAGAAAGAACCTGGCTTGTCAACTCCAACAAAGAGAACCTTTTAACATTTGAACATATTTCATTAACAGAATCAAAAACAAACAAACGAAGGTTTATAAGACAAGAGGAATTGTTTTTATATTGTAAAGAGACATTTAAACATGTAATCTGAAAGACAAGGTGAAGAAAGCCACGGAAAAACTCAGAACAACTAGCAAAGTTAAGAGGCATCACAAATACTTCAACTGTGCCCTGTGATATATACCTCAGTTGGAAGCATCTGGTGTGGAAGTTGACACTGTTCCTCCCCCCTCACCCTCCGCACACTGCCTGTTGCTTCTGATGCCTCATTTTTACAGGGCCTCCTGACACCATTGCCTCTGACACAGTGTACAACATACATGTATAAACACACAGACACGCAGCAGCCTTACCAGAATTAAAAATATATCTCAAAATTTCTAGATGTATCTTAGCTACTAAATAACTTGTAAAATATTTTTAAGAAAACTTAAGACATTCAGAAGTTAAGTACGTATTAAATTCACCATCTTCTTACCAAGTAGATTATAGTTCTCAATAGAACTTACAGATTTTTGTCATCACTAAATTTCGATTTGATTTATAACCATCTGCTTTTTCATCATGTTATCCAAATGCCAAATATTTGCTCTTCCTAACTTTAAAAGTTTGTGTACACAGCTATAGATGATCTGTTTAATAGACTTAACTAGACTACTGTTTACCACATACATCCATTTGAGATCTTGAATAAAACGCCGGTTCCCATCTCTCCCTCTATTTTATGCTCTTTCAACCATGAATACCACTAAAGCTGTGTGTCCATCAACACTTCTAAGTTATGAGGTTTATCAGCTCTCCAGCACAGCAGTTTCTACGCCTTTCCCCAGATGCCTATACACTGCAGCATTCCTCTCTTTTCTGACCAGATCCTCAATTCCCTGCGTGTGCCGGGTACCTAAAAGCACTCAGTCCCTGTTCCAGGGGTAAAAGTGGGTCCAACTGGCCCGTCACTGACACAGCTGCTGGACAAGCTGCACCCACATTTCTTTGCTACCCATGTATTATTCAGGCTTGTTAAAATCTCACAGCTTGGAGATGCATTCCAAGTAGTATTTCCACCCACAGGAAAGTTTTTCCTTATATTTTTAAATTAGGAAAAACATCAATACGGACCAAGATTTCTAGTTACTATGAGGCTTGTATAGAATGCTAGGCTCTTTCTGACTGTGATCTTCAGCTATGGAAACATGCTTCCACTTTTGGGGGATTTCTTTTGTTCTTAATGCAGGGCTCTCTCCTCTATATTCAAAAGTTAAAAAAAAAATCGGGGTTCGGGGTATGGAAAAAGTAGACTGCTAATTGCATTTGGAAAGCTATAGATTTTAGAAAATTACTTACATTTAGAAATTACTTTAAAAACTCAAATCACAAAGTCATATAATCACAGAGTTTAACTAGGTTACTTAAAGTCAGGAGCAATGAAGCACAAGCATTATAAGCATAAGCCATACCAAGAGATAAATATCTACCAGTCTCCTGGTCTGGGTTTTATGTTTGGCAAACAATTTAGCACAGTGAGAAATAATGTTTACAGCATTAGGACATCTGATTGATCTGTGAATGGATGAACATCCCCTCTTTTAGCCTCCAGCTCCAGGGAAGTGCTGCAGAAAGCCATATACTGCCCATAAAGAAATATCTGAGGGGAGTTACAGGGAACAGAATAAAAACATACAAAATTTATGCATTCATTTGCTCTTCTTTTTCATTAGATAAGAAATAGCTGCCAGCTGGCACCCGCTCATAACATCAGCAGCACATTATTCACAGTGCCTCTTAAAAATCCTGGGCATTGTCAGAGCCTAACAGAAAAGTTTTGAAAGCAGAACCTAACATCCACCGCACCTGCTCAATCTCTCACTCATTCTGAGCACATTTCAAGGCAAAGTTTCTAATTCACTCTGCCAAAATCCTTCATCTCAGTAGCAAGAATTTCATCAGTGTTTGTATATTTAAGGGACTTCTAAGTTGGTTAACGGTTGCTTGGTTAACGGTTTGCCTTTTAAGAAAAAAAAAACACACACACACACATGCGCTTTGTATGAATAACTGCAGGACTGACAGTTCTACAACCCCCAGCCATATAATTTGCAGCTGAGATATGCACGTTTGGAGAGGAATGGGAAAGAAAGAAGTAGAACACAGCTCAGACTAAAAAACAAAAGGTGTTAAACTGAACCTTGGGAGTATTTATAATAGCAACAAATCCGTCAGAAACAAACCTTTAACAACTCCCTCCTTCATTTGCTAGGACACAGCCTGATAAAGCACAGAAATGCTACTGTACCCCCTGCGGGCTTATTTTGACTAAATCTTAGGAATGCAACATATAAACACTAGACTCCCACATTACACTGTTACAACTTGCATTAGCAGGGACTGGACAAAAGCCACATTTTCACATAAATGTCTTATAGGGATATATCTTTTTTTTTTTTTTTTTTTTAAATAATTTCCTCACATAAATCATGCTCTCAAAATTCAAGAGGTGACTGATATACTGCAAACAAATGGAAATTTAGTTGCCTTTTTAAACTGTACCAATGAACCCGTTTTATCTATTTGATGCTTAGCTTAACACACATTGCAATTTTATATTAGCAAATCATGGCCATGAATGGCACCTCTATTTTCTTTGAAAGCACCAGTATTTTATATATATATATAAGATACTTGCAACAAATACAATTTCTCCATTCACAAATATGTATTTAAAAAACATATAGATGTGTTTAGGGACATGGTTTAGTGGTAGACTTGGCAGTATTAGGTTAATGGCTCATCTTGCTGATCTTAGAGGTCTTTTCCAACCTAAATTACTGTGATTCTGTGTGAAATCCTTGATCTAGGGACAGACTGCAACTACAAGACAAATAAAAATACCCTTAGCTGACTTTCATGCTAGCAAATACACATTTCCTATCACAGTTATTTGCATAAAGAAATTGCTTTGTAGTACAGCGCTGACTCCATATCTTACTGTACTATGCACTCTGAAATACAGACTGTGGTAATTTAATATTTCCACTAAAAACAATTTTCAGTATTTTAGTTAATCAATAGCTTCCAAGCCATAATAAGGGTACTTCTGTCCTTTCTTGTCTCATCAGATTTGTTATCAATAGTCACCACTGAAAAGAACACAAAATTATGTCAAAGTTTCTACCTGAGAAGCAATTTCACATATACCCACAGCAAAGAATAGGGGAGTATAGGACAGTAGAGCCTTCATTTAAGTTTATGCTGCCCTCTTGTGACTTCCAAGAGGAAGTTTGCTACAGCAAGTAAGTCACCTTAACCTATGGTAAAAATTTAAATATAACTTGATTTTACATAGGAATATTATGGGGGAAAAAATGTATTAGTTACTTATGAAGATTAACAGCATGATGTTGCTGCATGGCAAAACAGATTCTCAAGAGGGAAAACACAAGGAGAGAAAAACTGGTAATATAAAAGGCAATTTTGTACATTTTTCACCTTGCTGTAAGGAAAAAGTATGAATGACAGCATATATTAAAGCCATGGTAGAGTAGCTTACGTTTTTCCAGGAGATTCTTTTAACCAGAACAGGTCATCACTTGTGATTCCATACTCCAGCGCACCTGCAACCTGTGAACACACAGGTAAGATCTTGACTTTAAAATGCCAGTGCTGGCAGCAAAAAAAAGCTAATAGCCCCTTGGATTGTATTAGCAGATGTGTAGCCAGTATATCAAGGGGAGTAAGTACTCTCTTTTACTTAGCACTAGTTAAACCTCATCGAAAACACAGTGAAGTTTTGGGCCTCCTAATACAACACAGAACCTGACTGACTGAAGCAAGTTCAGCAGAGAGCCATGAAAATGGCCAGCTGGTGGAGCACACTACCAGTGAGTAAAGGCTGAGGGGAACTGGGGTTGTTCAGGCAGGAGTAAAGGTGGCTAATAACAGCTTTTCAAAGCTATGAGGAAGCTATCAAAAAAAGACAGCCAGGCTTTTCACAGTGGTGCACAGCAGGATAAGAGAAAACAGACAAACTGAAAGAGGAAAGGTTCCAAGCTGATAAAACGTATTGCTGCCTTTTACCTTGATAGCGAGGTGGGCCCCTCACTACCAAGAAGGATATTGAGCTGCTCTAATGTGTGCAGAGAAGACCAATGAAGCTGGTGAAAGGAGTAGAAAACAAGTTAGGAGGAGTGCTTGATGTTATTTAATCCAGAGAAGAGGAAGCTGATGGCTACTCGAAAAAAGGTTACAGCAAGGAGACTGTCACCAGTCTCTTTTCTCAGGTGACAGGACACAAGGAGACAGTCTCAATTTGTGCCAGAGTAGGTTCAGATTGGATATTAAGAATTCATGTAGACGGTGATCAAGCATTGGAACAAGTTGCCCAGAGAAATGGTAGAGTCCTCATCCCTGGCGGGATATGACGTGTGTGGACATGGCATTAAGGGACATGATTTAGTGATGAAACTCAGTAGCTCAAGTTGATGGTTCAATTTGATGATCTTGAAGATTTCTTCCAATGTATGTGAGGATTCCATGATTCCAAGAACATCAACATACTAAATTAATGCAAATTGTTTCCTAGGGAAGTGTTTTTCTGAAAATTTTAATGCAAAAAATATTTTTTCACACTCAGGTACGGAAATTCCTTGTGTTAGTTTGTTGACATCCTTAATCCTCTAAACATTAATTATTATCTGGTAGAAAGACAGTAAAGTCATTGAAGTTGTCAGATGGGAAGTGTAACTTACGTGTGTAGGATATTTTGGTCTTCCTCCAGTAGCAATGACAATTTTTTCTGCAGTAAGAATAGTCTACAAACAAAAATACAAAACAAAAATCAAGCATTTGATATCCTTTTATCTGTCTTTATATCTTAGCTATGTGCAAATGAGTAATATGTGAGAAAGCTGGCACTACCATCTGCTGTTTATCTGACATAATAATAAGCAATACTTTAAAAAAAGGTTGCAGATAAAAACAAATTAATACAGGCAGAAGGTTTCTCCTTCACATTCTCTATCATTTTTCATTTTAATATTAAGCTTACAATTGTTCCTATACCAGACAAGATTCTGAGGACTGCTTGGAAACAACAGCTGTACACACACAGCAGTTTATTAAAGTCAGCTTATCTTAGGACAAAACACAGAAATCACACCAAGTGAATTCTGTCTCTAAGGCCTAGAGTTAAGGTACCTCAAAAAGGGTATGTTTTTAGACAATGCTAGGCATTTACCTCAAAAAACGTTTGCTCTCTCAGGCTGATATTAACCAGTAACATTATATAATTACCCTCAAAAAGGCATTAAAAATGCATTTTCAGTCTTTTGTTAAATATGCAGAAATAGTCACCATTTTATTACTTGACCTGTCTGCTTTAAGTTAAATTTGGTACATTCAGCATAATTGCTTCCCACACACCACTTTGTATTAGAAAGCTAAGTGCCTCTACAATTCATTCATCTGAAGGAAGAAATCATCTCAGACTGATTTAATGCCCAAAGCAGTAAAGAGATTTTGGTTTTCTTTACATCTCTGTCGGTATCCATCAAAGCAATTTGAATCTGAATACAATGAATAACCCCGTGTTTCAGTTCTTGTCTTCAAAGGAAAAGCAACAGCACTTAACCTGCAGGTTAGGGGCTAAGGGCACAGTAGGCAACGGTCAAGTTCATAAACATCTTCTCTAGAGGGAAAACAGATCTCCCTCACTGGAACAATACCGAATACCTAAAGCAGTTTGGAAAAGTATTGCCTAGATTCCAGCCGATCTGAAAACCAACACAAGAAGACCTGAGATGGTTGAAGTGAACAGTACTGCAGAACTGAGATGCACTGTAAAGCAGCTCACCTCTTTACCTCCTTTTGTTAAACCACGGATCGTATGTGGATCTGAAAAACTCCCTTTGACATTGAAATATTTCACCTTCCTGTTTGGAAGAAAACAACATAAATGTACGTTTAATGAAGAATAGGAATTAAATAAAAACAGCTCTTCTTCCCCTATTTGATCTGTTAAAAAAAAAAAAAAAAAAGCAAACAGGCATAGAAAAGGAAGGAAGCATCTCATATCATAAGACTGTGTGCAGCTCTATCACAGACTTAATTTTTGTGTCACAGTTCATCTCCCTATACAGCAAAGTATATGGCATGCTTTGGGATCAGGTTATTAACCTCTTCAATTGTTACATGATCCACTATCCGTAGCATTACTATTTATAACATTACTACTACAATGCTTCTTTTAGAGCACGCAAGAGTGACTCAGCACGAGTCATAAGACTTGTACCTGTTAAATTAATACGATCTCTCTATAAAAGGAACTGCATGCTGAAAAACTTGGAAACGTTCCTGCACTGAAAGCAAAAAAAATCAGCTGCTCTAGTGTAGTGTTATCTGTAGGCTTGTAAGCAGGGCATGTAAGCTTTGGTGGGCAAGCCCAAAATTAGCTTGATAAACCCAGACTACTTAATATTAACGGAAAACCTTTCCAGACTAGAGAGAACATACCCAGATCACTATACTGTTAGAAAGTTTTCTCCCGGGGCTGTTTTCAACCAATATTTTCCAGAAAAGAAGGGAAAGGGAAACATGACTTACATTGATAAGGGCACCTACAGTCCTAAGAAGAAAGGACTTACAAACTAAAAATACTAATTATAATGAGAAATTCCAAAGGCAATTCAACAATTCTACAAGAGCTCCTTGATTATGGGAGGACAGATGAACTTCAAGTCTTATTTACTTGTCTTGTAGCTGCACTCTGTGTCCCCAGTTCAAAGACTTCACGTAATTCTGAACAGCTTGAGCCATCTCTGACCTATCACAAACCAAGAAATTGAACATAAAATCATCATGTTACAAATTCAGATAATGCAACTCAATTTACAGGCAATTGCTACAAATTATGATGTTCTGTAATACTTTTTTGTTATGAAAGTAAGGTAACAAGTGCAAACTGACATAATATCTGCCCTGATGAGCTATTAATTACAGTTTTGTGTTTAAAACAAGGAGTAGACTAAAAAGCATCATCCAAAATTCAGTTCTCTAACTGTAAATAAATACCAACAAGAAAAGGTTTTCATATGCATTTTCAGAACATAGGAGCAGATAGGGACAATATTCTTTACCAGTTATGATGAACAGGGTGGGCTATATTCCAGCCATAGCGCTGGGCATCTTTAAGGGCACTGCCTAAAAGGGCTGCTTGATGCATGAGCTTTTTAGGAATGCAACCAACATTCACGCAAGTTCCACCAAGTCCCCATTTGGTTCCTTAAAAAAAAGTAAAAAATAAAATAATAAAAAAACCGTAAACACACCATGTTAGTTTTACTTAATGCAACTAGGTTATTTAGAGAATTGGATTATTCATGCAATTAGTATTAGATGTTCTGAAACAACACACAATTTACTCCTACAGATCACTTTTTGACTATGCTTACATTAACATGTTTTGATAAGGACCAACTCTAAGTATTTTTCTTCTAAAATTCAAAGCATCTCAAGATTTTTTGCAGGTTTCAGAAGATCCAATTACTACACTTTCACGTTTATTATTTGTATTTGCAGACCTTACTTTACACATTGTGCATGAAGAGCCTTAACACAACACAATTCATACGCTTCAGAAATTGTAAAGACATTTTGACAGACGATATTCTCACGCATTTAAGTCCAAAGTCTATCACAAATCAAACACTGCTAACAACCTCAGCATGCAGGAAAAGGAGGTAGAGCTGGGAAGCAACGAGCAAGCTCAGCATAAGGACTTTACTGCAAGCAAAGCATGCAGCGTGGCTTTGGCCACATTGCTGCCTGCATCAACCTGCTCAGCCAGACCACGGCTTTACACACGTATCCAAATATCCTAGTATTTCTTTTCCATACCTTGTGGAGAAGGTTCCACGTAATCCAAAACGGCCACTTTCCTTCCAAACTGAGCAGCTTTAAACAAAAAACAAGAAAAGGCACTTAGAGGACGAAGAAATGCACAAATTGAAATACATTCAGTAGCACAAGCACAGATTAAGAATACAGGAGATGACAGTTGGTGGTTTATACCAATTCAAGATACCAGACTAAGAGCCCAGGCTACCCATGTAGTCAGCAGATTCTCCAGAAGGCACTTAATAACCCTTACTAGAGCTTCCAGCTTCTGCCAACCCTAAAAATACGATGTGATGCCAAATGAGATGTTTAAGAACCTTGTGTGTTACTGAACATGTTACATAAGGGTAATGCATTACAAAGAGGAAAAAGTTCTCTACAGAAGTTAAACAATTCCAAACAGCCTGAAAGTACTGTTGTTTTAATTCATAAATAAGAAAAAGTATAATAAGTAACAAAGAAAATCTATGGAGGCACTCAGAGGCACACAGTAACAGTGAAATAAATGTTTATTAGATTTTCCTGTGATAACAGAAGAAATACTTTTAAAAAAGAGTAACTGGAAAGCCAAGTAAGATTACCACACCTGAGGGTGTGAATAATTTGCAGATTAACTAGATGGAGCTGAGTTAATGATTAAAGCACAGGGCTTACGCACAGGATACTGTTTCTAGACATCTTTAACATTTTCAGTATTGCTTCTCTTAGCTTCCATAAAAACCACTTAAGCTAAAAGAAAACATTTACTTATTTATGTATGCTGACCTTCTTTTGCACAAGCCAGGCCTCCAGATCCTCCACCGATTACCAGAAGATCATACTCAGGCTTTCCTGTGAAGATGTGAGAAATGTAGGAATAGTAACAGACAAGAAAGGCAAGGTATGTTAAAAGGCAAATAGAAAATGGTATGCTTTTTTTTTTTTCACAACTGATTATTGTTGATTTGTGTTTCCTTTACTAGAGCACTGTTTCCTCAGCGTCCCAAAGCACTTTCCAAAAATGATGAAAACTGATGAGGCTGGTTTTATAAATGAAACGCAGGAAATAAAGCAATCCAACAATGGAAAATAATTACATTTTACACAATGTCCTGTGAAGCTCTTCCTGCATACTTTGACAGCTGCAGCTGGAGTCTGGTACGGGCCTTCCCTTCCTGCGTTACCGCAGCAGTTTCTACCCCTACATTTCTCAGCAGTCACCTTATCGCTCTCGAAAGCTTCAGCTGCAACTCAGGACTCGCAGAGGCGTGGTGAGGCTGAGGGCAGCTGGCCCCTTCTGCCACCTCGGCCTCCCCACAGCTCATGCCCATTCTAACGGAGAGGCTTGGAGGCGGTGGAAGAAATGCCAAGGTGAGACAGAACTTTCTGAGCGAGGGCAGGAGGGCTTCCAAAGAGCTGCCAGCGGCTCGGGGAGGGCAGCCAAGCCCACAGCAGCCTCGAAGCCCCTAAGCCGCTGTGTGTTGGGCGCAGGGTGGAGACCGCTCTGAGCGGTGCAGCCCCCCGGGGACGGCTGGCAGCCCCCCGTCACGGCGGGGTCAGCCTAAAGCGAAGCCCTGGTGGTCTCCTGTACCGCCTCGGGACCTCCCCAACAAACCGCAGCGCAGGGGGCAGGCGGCCTCGCCTGCTTCACAGCCACCTGCGGCCGCAGGGCTCCCAGAAGGACCTCCCTCAGGAGGACGGCAGCCGGGAGCGCCGGGGGGCGGCTCCGGCAGCCCCTGAGGATGGCAGCAGCCCGACAGCCGCCGCGGCCGGGCCGCTGAGGGGGCAGAGCGGCGCCTCAGGGGGGCGGCGGCGGCGGCCCCGGCTGTCGGCAGCAGCCCCTCAGGTAAGGCGCTCGCGGGCCTCTCGTGCCTCACACCGGGCGGCGGGGGGAGCGGAGCGGAGCGGGCCGCCCGCTGCCCGCCGCGAGAACCGAGGCAGAGGCGCGGCCTCCGCGCGGCCGCCCCGTACCTGAGAGGGCTCGCGCCGTACGGCACAGCCCCGCCGCGCCCGGGAGACGCCGCCGCCTCCACCACAGCGCCGCCATGCTGGGCGGCAACGGGCCGCCCCGCCGCGCCGCGCCAGGACCCCGCGGAGGCGGCCGAGCAGCGCCTGAGCGGAGGGCGCTGATGGCGGTGCCCTGGCGAGCAGCCCTGAGGGGAGCCTGCTGCTCCCCTACCCGTGGGGCGCCCGCTGTGCTCGCCCCCGAGCTCCGGCTTCTTCAGCCGCTGCGAGAGCTGCAGTTTTTTTTTTTTTTTTTTAGCAGGTGGACACCGGCTCCAGTTAGAGTTAAAATCGAACTTTTTTGGAAAGGGGGGAAAAAACACACAGTGCTTTTCTTGCCTGGCTTGCCGTTAACATAAAGCTGCAGAGGAGGGTCAGGGAAGGTTTTTAGGAAGGAAAAGGAGCACAGCTGCCCAGAGCCGTTACCAATACCCAAAGTCCTGTTTTCTCCTCTGAAGCTGTGCGTCCCTTGTGCATGAGGGGTGCGGGTTGTCAGAACCGCTTCCACAGGTGCCTCAGGTGCTGTACACAAAGTTAAAGCCCCCTGAGAAAGCAGTGTGAATAAAGTCCTTCCCTCCCACAAGGCATTACAGTCAAGTTGTCATGTTGGCTCAGGTTCCCGTGACTGAAGCGCTTCCAGCGTTGTGAGCAGGAGCGAGGGACTCCCGGCTGACCTCAGCCAAAATGGTGGGGCTGGGCCCACACCACACGTCAGTGAGGGAGACCAGCACCAACAGCTTTAGTGCAAGGTTTAACAGCGACAGGGCAAATGTCCACACAGCACAGCCTGTCGGAGCACCACCAGACTTCGCAGGCTTTGGATGACCCTTTTGGTGCCCCACATCTTCTGTTGGTTAAACAGGGGTGAAGCTGCTGACCTGCTTCAGATGGGAGCTATTAATGCTTGTAATGTATTTTGACAGCCCAAGGTAAAAGGTTTCATAGTAGGTGTTGAGCAAAACCATACCACAGGGAACAAGGTTGTTCTCTGTCAGAAGTGTTGGCTGTTGGTCTGTACTGCAGCATATTAGTAGCTCTACCTGCTGCTGTACAAATTGGGTCGCATATAATAAATATCACCACGGTCAAATCAATTTAGGACAAAGAAATCAGCTCCTTCCTCTTAGGGAGAAGGAGCTGGTGACAGAAAACAGTTTTAGGCAGTTGTGTTCAGCTGGCTTTGGAGTAAGGGCTTGTCTCACAAGGGGGCAGCATCTAACCATTTTGTACCAGAAACATCCATCTGATCCATAGTCCAGGGGAAGTGGCAGTACATGCTCAAAAGAAACTTTTTGTATAACTAGTATCACCTCCTAGTATAGGTCAGATAATTACATTTTTTTCCTCTCAGTTAATGTTTGCAAATACATGAAACGGGAGTTACTAACGGTCGATGAGTTGTCCAGTATCACTGCTGGAAATAAAAGGCTGAAAACCTTGTATTCTACAGCAGTACAATCAATAAATCACTAAAGATACTCCTTACCCACTGCAACAGCGGTAGAAAGACATGAGTAGAACACACTGAGACCTATACATGAAAAAAACCCTCGAGCATATTCAGATGCTAATCACTTATGCTCTTCAGGTATGTGCATGCAAAGTTGTTTTAGCTGTTCAGTTTAGCCACTATGCTGAATTGAATCAGGCAGTGTTGGGCATATGCTCTTCACACAGCATTTAGTTCAGCTGTAGTAGGATCAAGGGTAGAATTAAATAATCTCAAAGACACAGCAAATTTATGTGAAAAAATGTTCCAGCAGCATTATGTTATCTTGTTATTAAGAAAAGGCCTTAGATGTGGCAAAGCTGTTGATATAAAACACTACCTTAAACAGCAACATCAGTGGCAATTTAGGAAAGAATTGCCAATAAATTCGGAGTAGTGCTTCTAAACTGTTTAAGGAGAGGACTTGGCCAAATGCCCTGTGTAACAGCCACATCATATACTAGCATTCCTTTCATTCCTGGCTGCTTTTTATTATTTTAAAGCTCAGAATCTGTATGAACTTCAGCCTACACAGCGGTGGTGAGTTTCTAGCTTTTTTAGATGTTTATCTTTTCCCAAGCACGCCCGCTCTTTTCTATTTTGAATGTGAGTCAGTTGCTGCCACTTGGCACCTTAAGCCATCTAGGAAGCTATCCATAGCTGCTGCTGGCAGGCTGCGCGAAGCTGGGATGAAGCCCTCCGGCTGGATCTCACAGCTCACGATAAAGCACCAGTGGAGTTCCACAGGCAAAGGTTTACTCATCAGCACTGCTGTCTTCAAAAGAAAGAACAAAGTTTGTGTAATGCCACTCTGCTTGTTCTTGAACATTCTCACAAGTATGATCACTGAGATCAAAAAGGGCAAATATCAGCAGCGGTGAGTAGGTTTTGCCCATGATCACAGTATCAGGTAGTAGAGCAGCCACAGATACCTGCTGCAGTCAGCACTGAGCAGGTGTGTCTGCACTACACTTCAAAAGCCTGTCTCAGGGACCAGAAACAGGTTCTGGTCCTCGGGTACAGGTTTCTAGTGTGTATTTGGCTCATCTCTTACAGTATCCTATCCTATCCTATCCTATCCTATCCTATCCTATCCATTATTTTGTGGTTATCATTAAGCTGATCAGAATAACTAGTGTTATACGTATTTTATGTCTATTAATACATGTATAAAGAAAGCAAGCATGAAGTCCTTTAGTGACAAATACATTTTAGTATAAGGAAACATTTACACAAAGTATTGTGTTTCTGCAATGAAATAGTATTTTTTAGATACTTGGGTTTTAAAAAAACCTCTTAGAAGATAGCTATCAGACTGAACATCTTAGTTCTGTGGATTTGTATCAGTTGTAGCTAGCAATATTTAAAGTCATAAATTAATTTCATACATTAGAATCATAGACTATCCTGAGCTGGATGTGGTTTTGTTTATTTCCTGGGGGATATTTATTTGGTGTTCTGTAAACAGTGCAGTATTAAGAGGGCAAAGGAAATGCCAAGGTGATACGTTTCATAAATGTCTATAAATCCAGTCAACAATAATATGAGTTTTGGAGGCCATTAATTGGTTCTGTTAACAGGCAGACTTTCTGCTTTTGAATGTATTAGTAAGGAAAACTTGAAATTTTCTTATTAATTTTTCTTCATAAGAAGTAACTTTTGTTACATTTATCAATGGTTTATTTAAGTTCTTCCTCATGAAGAGTAAGTGGAAACAAGCAGAATAAAACACCTTTCTGTTTAATACTTTAGAAATTCTGACTTTTCAAGCTGCTTTTTGTCTGTTTTGTTTTTCTTGGCATGGATTGCTTTATGTTTAATGTTCCTGGATTAGGGACCTGGCAGGGTGGGGAAAAGTGAGAGGTGTCAGGAAGATACCATCATTGAAAGTCATCACATTGTTTCTTTCTTAGTGGGTGGGGTGAGAAATGAATTAAATCAGAGGCTGCATTTTGTGGTGTGACCTAATTAATCATTTATGGTAGTGTCAATGAACTATACTGGATCACTGAACTAAGAGGTTTCCACAGTGAGGTAGGGCTTTCTTGTTTCATTCCATCTCTCTTGTGATTACTTTTACCCTGTTTTTTTTTTTTTTTTTTTTTTTTTTCTAGTTGTTCCTCTGCTAGTGTGTGACATGGTGTTCCTATCATTAATGAAGAAAGGGGAGGGAAAGAAAAGCACCATGGAAGAAAGGCATGGCACATGGTTAAGACAGAAGTCAAAATCATGACATAGGCCCTGGCAATTGAGAGAATTGCCTGCCAGAGCTACAAAAAAGGCATAATCTATGGTAGCAGAGGAGAGGAGGGGTGGTTAACTGTTCCTAGACTTTTTCCAAAGCAAGTTAGAACCTTTTCACAAATCATGGATAGTATTCTTGCATGGGGGTTTATGCTGACAAGTGAGGACACTTGCTTGAAGACAGATCCTGGGTAAACAATAGATGTATTTTTACCTCTGTAACAAAGCTTCTTACCTGGCTTCTGTAGCAAGTGTTTTCCAATATTACTTTTAGTTGGATGTTGCTTTACACTGGCATGAATGAGTCTGTGACTGTTTGCTTACAACCAAACGCTGGTGTACCTGAAAATAGAAAAGCCTTCTGTATTTTAGATATCTTTCATTGAGATTCTGCTTCTAAGAGTTTTGACAAATCAGTCTTTAAAGAGTTACAAGTTAAATTGGTAAAGGAAGAAAATGACTAATTTTGGTTTATGAGATATCAAAGTGGAGATCAGATTTCCATGTGAAGTCTACAAAGGTTACAAAATTGTGTTAACATGGGACTAATATCACGTCCCGTTAGTTAATATTTTTTTTTCAGTGTAAGGCCTGAAAATGTCTACATTACAACTACATTAAGAAGAAAGCTAAGAAAGGCATCCACATCACAGAATTACTCTAAATAAGGTCATAATTTAAATTACATCTTAAAATGCTATTCTAAAAGGAAAATAGCTGTTTTAATATACATGTATGCTAAGCACCCCAAAAAGACATCTTGTCACAAAGAATCTATCCTTTAGCTAACAGTATTACCTCTGCTGGAAATATTTGTGCATAGATATATAAACCAGAAAAATGGTTAAACATTTCAGCTTTGTTGCTCTTTTACCCCTTTGTTTTCTTTTTTATTATTATTATTTTCAGAAATTTGTCTGAGGGTAAGGCTCGTTTTTCAGAAATTCATCTCTGCCATTTTTTCCTTCCTTCTCTAACCCTACAGAATCTTATGCTCATAGGTTGTCCTAAACAACTGATTACAAGTGATGAAATAACAGCAAGAAGAAATAAAGCTTTAAGTAACACAAATTCTTGATTTCATTCAAATGTTTTAAGGTATATTAAAAAGTGTGTGGAGAAAATACAGATATATGATAGACTTAACAGAACTCCAAAGTTTTCATGAGGAGTTTCAAAGTCATTGAGAGCACGAAGTGTTTCCAGTCCACGTGGTAACCCTTTAAGATACACAGTAAACACAAAGTAGCCTAACTGCGTGTAGTTTCTGTTAAACTCTAGACTGTAACTTTGCTGGCCCTTGTTCTTCTCTGTTAGCTGTTTCTTATTTTAGATATCTCCAGGCAGTTTCCTGATTCATAAGAGTAGTGCTT